CCCAGAACAGCCAAGGATGCACGTGGCAGAGCCCCAAGGTTGAGGAGAATGGGTTCTCCACAGGGACAGGACCAAGAAGCAAGGCAGACCTCTGAGTAGCCCAGGTCAGTAGCTGCTATAAATAACCTTGGCATGTTAGCAGTTTTGCGTTGGGGTCTGGGGCCTCATCAGAAAATGCTGCAAATCCCTGGCACACTCTCCCACACAGAAACCTGACACACCAGAGCTCCCATCAGTGGCTGGCGTCCTTGGCCCTGCAGACGCAGAAATGCTCAGGACAACATCTAACCTACCTCTAACTCTTCCCTCACTGCTCCAGGCATCAAACCCATGACTGAGGTGAACTTTAAGGTTTGGGGCAGTAGATATCGAAGAGAAGGAGGGACAGGACAATAAAACACCAAGATGTAAGCAGGGAGCTGTTTCTAGATTCTAACACACCTGGTACCACTTACTATCTACATACTTTGCAAGTTTGGGTAAGTTCATTCTCTACCAATTTCCCAGTGGTGAAGGCCCATTTTTCTCTGTCTTAGAGCCCTAGCTTACAGACGTAGGCCCAGAGGCTCGGAAAGCTCCTATGAACAAGTGCCTAGATTGTCAGCAAACATTTTAAAATGTATTATGGGAATATTTCATGTAATGGCCCAAATTTTAGCATCTGACAGGCTGTCTTTCAAATTCTCAGATTGGCTCTCCCTACCTGTGTGACCTTGCATTAACTGTTTCACCTCTCTGAGCCTCAAATTCCACATCTGTAAACTGTAGACAGCAGTATCTGTCTCCAGGGATCAAAGCACAGATTAAGCGAGACCGTGTAACTAAAGCACTTAGCACAGTGCAGATACCTCAATAGAGATGGGATATTATTACCACAGGCCAGACACCGTGTAAGCAGACGGAGTCAAGAGCTGGGCCCACTCCACCCCAAAACACCCACAATGAGGACTTTCCCCACGCAGCACTGATCCACCTGTGTGTTCAGGTGGAACTGTACTGCTGACCCGTGGCAGCCTGGGGTGCTGGTGGGGAGCAGCTGGTGTAAAGAACTCTGGAGGCTGAGACACCAAGGCTTTCTGCCCATTCTGCAGCTCCAGATGTTTTATCATGAGTACGGCCTGCAGACCAGCAAGGGAGCAAGTGAGAACTCAGTTCTGACTCATAGGGGAAAATCCCCAAGCCATCGTCCTGCTAAACCTCTCTTCTGCTTATCTTAGCAGCTTTAAGGGGATTAATGATAGATTGTCCTACTGCGGGAAACCTGGACAGGAGAGGGCTGAGGGAGAAGGAAGAATGCACAGACAGCAGGAATTGCTCTCGCAGGAAGCTTCTTGCCTCGCTCCATCATCTTTGGACTTTGCTCCAAATCTAGTGCAGAAGGCACTGATTCCGATGGTATAAATCTCACACACACACACACACTGAAACTCATACAGTCAGGAATGTCTCTTTGTTTCTGTTAAATGTTTCAGCAGTTTTACTTATAATTGTCAAAACCTGGAATCCAACCAAATGCCCAATTGGCAAATGGATAAAAAAAAAATTTAAAAAAGCACTATGTGGTCCATCCAAACAATAGAACAGTACTCAATAATAAAAAGTAGCAAACATTCACCAACATGAATTACTCAAGTGTAGCATGCTGTGTGAAAGAAAGTATATGCAAAAGGCTTCAAGTGACCTGACTGCATTTATACATTCTAGGAAAGGTAAAACTGTAAGGCCAGTGTCATTATGGATGCCGGTGGCAAAGAAGCAGGAGAGGAGGGCAGATTTTGGCTAACAGACCTGTTCTGTATCTCAGCTGTAGCTATGCTTACATGAGTACATATGCATTTGTCTTTATCCATAAAACTGAAGAAGGAGCTCTGGTGGCCTACACTGTAGGGAGCTGCACTGCTACCCCAAAGGTCATGCCTCTCCAGTGGTTCAAATCCACCAGCAGCTGCAAGGGAGAAAGACAATCTCCTCCCATGGAATCTATAGTCTCAGAAACCCAACAGAGAGAGCTATGAGTTGGTTCCAACTGGTTGGCAATTAATTAGCTGAGTAATAAAAGAGTGAATTTTACTGCATATAAACTTAAAAACTAACTAGGGATTAATTTATCCATAAACTCTATATAAACACCTGCCCCCCACCCCCACCTCATCCGCCCCAGCCTCCGCCTCAATCTCTACTGCCATTGAATCAGCTTCAACTCAAAACAATCCTAACAGGCTGTAATCCTTCTCAAGAGGAGAGCATCTGATGGATCCAACTGCCCCCTTTTTGGTTAGCAGTCTAACATGCTGCCAGTACTCTAAGCCGCCAGGGCTCCCTTAAGCTATTAACAGAAGAGAGTAAGGAAGGACAAGAAGATGCCACTATTCTGATGCTGATCTCGGCACACTCAGACCATTCTGCTCTGGATGCTGTCTTTATGAGGCAAAGACAAAGTGGGAGGTTTTAGATAAGACTGTCTGTGACATTGAGAAGGATCCTCTATTTATGCTTCTTATGGAACTTGCTCATAATAACCAACTTTGGTGATACAAAACAGCAGCATTGAACCTCAACTAACTGTATGAGAAGGGGGGACAATCACTACCAAATCCACCCCAAGGCTGATTTCTGAGAGGTGGAGGTAAGACATACCTCCTCTCTCCAATCTTTTTATCAATTTTGGTCCCCGCTGTCCTCTAAACAACAACACTCTTATTTCTCTGCTGGGCTCCATAATTCATTGCAATGGCTACACAGGACACATGGACTGCAGGCTGCTTGGAACCAACCTGGAAGAACAAGAATAGAATAAACTTGGGAGGAAGAGAAACAACTAGGGAGGCAGTCTGTCAATCAAGACAGCCTAACTTCATTTCTTCTCAGGCCCTGCTGCCAACTCCACTCAGAGCAATCTTTCTTACTCTGTTGGGATCCCTTTATTTCCTTCAAGCTTGAAGTATACACATCTTAGCTCAGCACCAAGTCTAGGCACAAAAGGAAGGTGCAAGGAGACAGGAATCTTCAGAAAAGAAAGGAGATGCACACCTCCTTTGCCTCTTAGGTAAAGGTCAGCTGACTTCTCCTGAAAAATTCTTTATAGCCTCCAATGGCTGCAGGGACAGGATAAGTAGGGAGGAGACTAGCAAGGCCTGATCAAAGGACAGGGACCCCTGAAGCTCAACCAGCAGATGCTGCAGGTTGGGACAAAGCCATGGTCATGATCACCCCCAAGGAGTCAAAGTCTGTCCTGGAGTCTTGCCCTGGAATCCTATGTACACAGCCAAGGGCACAGGGCAGACCCAGCACAGCCCTGCCCATCCTCCATGTGCCCTCCTATGGCCCAGATCTCATTCAGGCATCTCCATTCAGAGGCTCTTACAAGAGACTTGAAGGTTGGAAATAGGTCAGTATAAAGCAGAGTCACTGGTCCTTCTTAACTACATAGGACACCCTGCCATCCCTTTCATACTCAGGAATAGGGACAAAGAGACTAAGAGAGAAAGATCATCTCTGGTTAGGACCCTTTAGGAAAAAGGGCCAGGAGCTAGTATTTGTTGAATAATTACTATGCATCCAAGTCTGAGCTCAAAATAAACTCACAGAGAAAGTACTTGAGGGATCTTTGTTTTATACACGATGACACCGTTGCTCTAGAGGTGAAGTGATTTCCCCAAGGACACCACACAGCAGAACACTGGGCTTGGTTCTTCTGACCACAGTCACAGGGCTTTCAGCCTCCCCTCCAGCCCTCCTTGCTCTCATCAGGCTGACTCCTGTTCACCTTCCCGACGTGATCTGAGATTACTCAGGCCCTTTCTCCACATGGCCAAAGCTCCAGGACCTCTGAAGACTTGCCCACAGCTGGTCAGTGACCCCAAACACTCGAGGTCAGGCCATCCTTGCTCAGAGACCTGCTCAGCAGTTCCTGTTCACATCACAACAGCTCACACACGACTCTGCGTGTGACTCAGGCCAAAACAAACTCACTTCCATCAGCTGGTGGGCACGATTTGCCTCCTGCACTGAGTCACCCTCCAGGCTGAGCTGTAGGGATTTACTGAAACTCAGCCACCTACTTAGACACAGCTGCTTCATTACAGAACAAGCCAGCAGAGGAGTCAGAACCTCCAACGGTCCCCACGTGTGGGCCACAGCCAAGGACACCAAGTGTGACCTCAAAGCCCTTCCTACCAGGTGATAGGGCCACCTCACTCCACCACCAGTTAATATAGGCACAAAGTAATTGCTAATCTCCGCACTTACTTTATTCTCCAGATGTCTGTAGCCTAAGTGATGGGTTTCTTCCCTTAAAGTTTTGATTGAGTCTTTTGGGAACCATTATTGGATTTTTCAGTTTCTGGAAGAATACTGGGTCAGGGAATTTATACCCTTCCTTACCACGGGTCCCTTCCTTTACTTCCCATTCCCAAGTGAATGCATCTGCCTTATTCCCCTCTTGTTCATAGATGAATCACCCCAAAGGCAGCTCTAGTTAGAAATTTCTCAGTCCAAAGTAGTATCTGTTAAAACATTTGTCAAAGAAGTAAAGAGGAAAGGGAGTGGTTTATTTTTTAAGAAATGAATGACCACAACAGAACAACCCACCTGATAGTGACTGGGCCCTGCGAGGTTGACGGCCTCAAGATTTCTGAACGCTTGGAACCCTGGCAGAGCTCACAGGGCTTTAAAAAGAGACACTAGGCTCTCTTCCAAGGCGGCAGCGCCCCTCGGGGAGCGGCCCTGTAGAGAGTACTGTTAGCTTTGCTTCACCTCACCGCACTGGCGTTCAGGTACAAACGTGCATAGAGGCCTCCCTCCAGGGACGGCGCCCCCTCCAGATGGCACCCCGCACACGTCGCCACCTCTTCCATTCCGTTCCCAGGTGCGCTTCAAGCCTCAAGGGAGGAAGAGCTCCCGCTAGCTCGGAATTCAGCAAGGACCAGCTCGAAGACTAAGAATTAAATATTTATCTTGGGTATGAGCGTTCTGCTTCTCTAGCAATGTTACTGTCAAGGTCATGCATAGGCCTGAGGCAGGCGGCTGGGACTGGGGTCTCCACCAGCGCGGCAGTCTCCCGCAAGAAATGCGCCCTGGGCGCGCAGCTCCAGTCGGAGGGACTGGCCAGGCCCCCACCCCGTCTTCCGCAGGCGTTGTCTCTGCAGCCCAGCCCCACTATCTCGGGAGTATCTAGCCCTTCTTAGCGGCGAAATCCAGAGACCAGACACTAGGCGTGCGTGCGGGAGCTGGGCACCCTTTTTGCGCGGCAAGAGCGCGGGCCGGAGACCCGAACTCTGTCGCCAAGCAACGGCGCCTTGAACAGCAGGAGAAGCCCTGGGCCTGAGCCAGGCCTGGACGCTGTGTGGGCTGCACGTCTCGCACCCCTGTCGTTAGGCCTTCCAAACAGAGGAGGAGGGGACGGCAGAGGTAAAGTTGCTGCAGCTGGCCCAGTAGAGCAGGGCTGGGCGCGGCTGGCCACTCACCTGTCCCGCGTGGGCCGTCGTGCGGACTCAACCCTAACACTCGTACCGCGTAGCTGCTCACCCGACGGGTCGAGGGCACACAGACCCTCCTTGAGGCAGCCCGAGTTCGGCGGCGAGGGGCCCCAGCCAGGGCTTGGGGAGCCCTGGAACCGCGCGCCGGCGCACGCGACTCGGTTTGCTCCTTACTCCCTTCTGTGCCGCGGGTCCGGGCCCTGCTCACGCCCGCCGTGCGCTCTGGCCCCGGGGGAGCGGCCCGGGAGCCCAGGTCCCGCGGCGGAGGGAGCGCGTTAGGCTGCAAGCGACAGGGTCGAGTGCCACCCTCCCCGCGCTCTGACCGCGCCGGCTCTGCGGAGCGGAACGGAGCTGGGCGGAGCGCGGCGCGCGCTGTTCCCTCGCTTTCCGAAAGGCCACCCTGGCGGCGGGGCGCCGTGACGCAGGCTTGACTCACGCGCGGGCCCGCGTCAATGCGAGGCTCGGGGCTTCGAGCGAGGCTCTAATGGCCGACGCAGGCAGAGGGAGTGGGCGGGGATCGAGGGAGGTGAGTGCACCCCTTGAGGCCCCTCGAGGCCTCTGGACAAGGGAACCCAGACCCTTGGAGGCGAATGAGGCCCCAGTGGCCAACATGCAGGCCCACCTCTATTGGCCTTCTTTATGAACTTGATCCCAATCTAAGTGCCCTAGCTGTATCTACCTCCACACCTTTACTCAATCTATTCTCAATTGGAAATGCCTTTCTCACTCTACCTTCTTTTCCAACCTACCATCCCTTTAAACCATCTCCTTTACAGTTCTTCAACACACCACTCGTCATGGAACTTTTGCCATAAAATGCAGCAAGGTACTTCGCTTCTCTGGGCAAAGAAGACTTGCCTTACTTTAGATGGAAACTCCGATTTCTATGCGCCTACTTTTGCACTCACTCTCATCTCCCTTATCTCCTGCCCTCTGCACCAGCCTCCATCCCCCTGCCAGGTTCCATGGCCTCGCCCCTTCTTGGACACCTGAACCGCTGTAAATTTCACCTCTCTTGAACTTTTCCATTTCTACTCCACCCATTCTTCTCACTAAAGTATTTTCAGATATCCAAAGTCATTTAAAAGTCATTTGGACCTGCCTGAACCTAAAAAGTATTCATACCACGTGAGGGTGAGCATGGGGCCTCAGCAGTCACAAGGTCCTGCATGGGCCTGTGCCCTGGACACCCCATGTGGCAGATGTGACTCAGCTCTCAGGGAAGGTGAGGTGGCTAAGAGTAGTTGGGCTGGTGGTGTGTGATGGGAGGGTGAGGTGTACCAGGGCAGGGCCCCTCCCCCAGGAATCCCTCCTACCTCAGACACTCTTAGCCTAAAGTGACCTTACAGACTGGCTACCATCATGTGCCCTCTCTTGGCGGGGCATCCCCAGCGTTTTCCAGGCTGTGAGATATGTCCCCACCCCCAGGCCCGCCTATGTTCCAGGTGCTATCCATGGCCAGGTCAGTCCACTGGGCAGAGGAGTGGTCTGCTGAAGGGACAGTGTCCACACCCAGTTGGGGCCAGTGCACGATGCCCTGAGTGGGACAGGCATGGGAAGTACCCAAGGTTCACCTAGTGCTGGGCCTCAGAGTGTTTAAGAAATGAGGCATCTTTGTTTACCCCTTGGCAAAGCCCAACCCCAGCATAGTAACTATGAAGGCCTGGCCTGGTCTGGCTCTGGCATCTTTCAATCAGTTAATGAATGATTCATGGACTTTTAAAAAAAGTCATTTGGATTGCATACCCTCATTCTCCCTCAGTTTCCACATTCATTAACCCACTTCTGTGTCTGTAGATCTTTCTAGCCCTCGTGTTACTTGGCCTCTCTAACACTTGTCTTGGATACCATCTTCTTCCTTCTAACACTCTCTCCCCTCTCTTTTTGGAACTCCACACTCCCTGATTTTCCTTCTACCCTTATGGAAACTCCTCCCATTTCCTTGCTGATCTTAAATGTTGGACTTCCTCACAGTCCTTTTTAATCTTGCTCTATACTTCTTTTATGCACAAAAAGCTGCACTGCAATCTGGACAGCTTGGAAGACATGCATTGGAGACCACCAACTGCTCCAAGGGAGAAGGATGGGCAGTCTCCTCCCCTGGGATTAACTGCCTCTGAAATTCCACTGGGGGGTCAGCTATGGGGTTCGCTCTGACTCCATGGTACACAAGAACAACACTTCTTTTACTGGGGAACTCTAGAGGCCTAATCTATAGGGAGCTGCACCGATAACCCCAAAGCCATACCTCTCTGGTAGTTGGAATCCACCAGCAGCTCTACATGATAAAGATGGACTATCTCTTCCTATGCTATTTACAGCCTTAGAAGCTCAATGGAGGCAGGCTCAGCTATGATTTGGTTCTGCTGTTGTGACTCCACAGTGTGTGTGTGTGTGTGTGTGTGTGTGTGTGTGTGTGTGTATGTGTGTGTGTGATATATAATCTCCTCTCATGTGATTAACTGCCTCTGAAAACCTGCTGGAGGGTCAGGTATAGGTCGATTTCAACTCATTGATACACAGCAACAGCAACAACAATACAAATATATGAAAGTCTATTGTTGTCAGGGACCCCTCAAGAGTGCTGAAGAGCAAAAACATCAGTTTAGAGACTAAGGTGTACCTTATCCAGGCCATGGTCTTCGCAATTGCTATGCATCAGAGACCTGGACAATGACCTAAGATTGACAGAGCGTTGTTGTCTTTGACTTTTGGTGCTGGAGAATAGTATTGAACATACCATGGACTTCCAAGAGAACAAAGAGTTCTGTCCTAGAGAAGATAAAACCAAGTTGCTTTCTGAGGGCAAGGATTTACACACACACACTGCCAAGAGGGACCAGTCCTTAGAGAAGGACATCATGCTTGGAAGGGCAAAGGGTCAGCATAGGAGAGGAAGACCCCACAGGAGAAGAATTGACACTGTAACTGGGGTAATAGGGGTAGGTGTGTCAGTAACAGTGAGATTGGCTCAGGATAAAGCAGACTTTAGAGCTGTCATTCATAGGGTCGCTATGAGAAGCAAGTGATTCGGTGGCACATAACAACGACAATATAGTGTGTATGTATATAATGTATATAATACACACATACACACATACTTCTTTTCCTAGATCATCTCCTGCATCAATGACCTCCTTGTTTACATTTCTATTCTATACTGTTTTCTTACCTCCATTTACTAAATTCCTACTCCATTTTTCCTATTGACTATCTCAGAGTTACTCCAATGTACATGTACCAAAAACTGAAATGGACACCATCTGGCCCAGTCTTGCTGCTCCTCAAATGCTCTCTGGCTGTGAAGAGTTGATTCCACCACAACCCCAAATACAAGCATACTCTTATTCCACTGCGCTTTATTTTGTTGTGCTTCACAAATATTGCATCTTTTTATAAATTGAAGTTGTGGCAACCCTGCATTGAGTAAGTCTATTGGTGCCATTCCCCCCAACATGTCCTCATGTCAAGTATTCTGTCATATTTTTATACTTCATACTTTTCCTATTTTTCATGCTATTGAATACTTAGTAGACTACAATATCATGTAAACATAGATTTTACATGATAAAACAACCCTGCTTGCTGAAACTGAGGAGGACCTGAAGCACTCGCTGTGGAAGGTCAGAGACTGCAGTCTTCAGTATGGATTGAGACTCAATATCAAGAAAACAAAGATTCTCACCACTGGGCTGATTGGCAGCATCATAATGGATGGTGAAGAGATTAAGATTGTTCACAGCTTTAGTTTGCTTAGATCCACAGTCGACACTCTTGACACCAGCAGCCAGGAAATTAAAAGACTTATTGCAATGGGAAAGTCTGTGGTTAGAGACCTCTCTAAAGTGCAAAGATGTCAGTCTGTAGACTAAGGTGCACCTGATACAGGCAATGGTCTTTGTAATCACTTGCTATACATCAGAGAGCTGGACAATGACTAGGGATGATAGAAGGAGAATTGATGTCTTTGAGCTGCGGTGTTGAAGAAGAGTATTGAATATACCATGGACTGCTAGGAGAACAAACAGGTTTGTCCTGGAGAGAGCAAAGCTGGGCTGCTCCTTGGAGGCAAGGATTCTGAAGCTTCATCTGACATACTTTGGACATGTTGCAAGGAGGGACCAGTCCTTGGAGAAGGACATCATGCTTGGGAGGGTGGAGGAACAGCGCAGGAGAAGTAGACCCTCGATGAGGTGGATTGGCTCAGTGACTGGGGTAATGGGAATGGGTGTGTCAGAGATGGTGAGATTGGCACAGGACAGAGCAGGGTTTAGGGCTGTTGTACCTAGGGTCGCTATGAGTCGCAGGTGACTCGATGGCACATAACAACAACAACAAAACATACATTTTATATGCTCTGAGAAACCAACAAATTCATGTGACTCACGTTTTTGTGACGGTCACATTTACTGTAGTCTGGAATCAAACCTGCAGCATGTTCAAGCCATGTTTATAATCATCCTTAAGACCTCCTCCTTCTTCACTCAGTCATGTCACCATTTGCTGAATCTCAGAGATTTTACCTCCTGAACATCTCTAGAATCTCGTCACTTTCATTCTGCTGCCATGGCCCTCCTGAAATGAGGACTCTCACTTGGACTCTTGTAGTAGCCTCCTGACTTCACTCCACTGTCCACTTTCTCCACACAGATGTAGAGCAATATTCTAGAAATGCAAATGTGATCACTCTTTTCTGCTTGCAGACTTGCAGTGGCCTCCTGCAGTGGCCCTTTGGATGGACTCACATTTTTGGCATGTCTTATAAGGCCCCTTTGTCTCCAGAATCAATTCCCATCACTTTTTCTGGGCCCTTCCCTGTAGCGACCTTTACTTTGTTCTTCCAGCTCACCTACTCCTGGGACTCCAGCCCATATGCCCTCAGTGCCTGTAATCCTTTACGTTCTCCTCCTCCTCTTTTCTATCTTCCTGTCCACTCTCCCAACAGAGTTCAACACCAACCCCAAATCTTCCAAGATGCCACTCTTCACTAAGCAGAAGTCAATCAACCTTCTATGGGATCATGCCTTCTCTTTTGTAGCTCTTGCCACAATTCTAAGTCCCTAATGGTGTGACTGGTTGCTTGGAGGCAGTCTCTGTCTCTTTGGAAGCTTCACTTGGGCGAAGAACCTGCTTATCCTCAGCAGTTATTGTTGTTGTTAGAAACCTCTAGTCAAGTATGACTAGTAGTGAACCTATGAACAATATTACTAAAACTGTGCCATCTTCATCATCTGACACACTTGAGCCCATTGCTGCAGTCACTGTGTCAATCCATCTCATTGAAGGTCCATCTCTCTCTCACTGACCCTCCACCTTTCCAAGCATGATGTCCCACTCCAAGGAGTAGCCTCTCCTAGCAACATGTCCAAAGTATGTGAGGAAAAGATTTGGCACCTTTGCCTCCAAGGAGCACTCTGACTACACCGTCTCCAAAACAAACTTGTTTTTTTCTTTTGGCAGTCCATGAGATATTCGGTATTC